CATTATTGTTTTGGAGGGCCCAGGCTGGATTCGAACCCGCCACCTTAGGTGTATATGGCTGGTGCCTTAGCCACTTGAGCCACAGGAGCCAAGCCAAGAGCTGCATTTCTAACAAGTTCTTAGGTGATTTTGATGCTGCTGGTTCTGGGACCACACCTTGAGAAATACTTCTGATTCCCAAACCTAACCACATATCAGAATGACCTGGGTAGGACCTGCTTCTGTAGGTCTGAAAATTTATCTTCTCTCTAGTTTTTAAAACTCCCTAGGGATTGTGATGTCCTGCCAAGCTTGGGAGCCATTCCGGTGCAGGCTCATCTATGAGGGGTTAACCCTCCTACTTCTCTTATTTATATGCAGATCTTAAATAAAAGTGTCAGATCATCCTTGTAGCCAACTGAAGTCGTTTTCAGTCTAGACCTTATCATTGCAGCTCAATCAGCAGATTTGACAGGACTCCCTTTGGTGTCTTCTTTCAAGATGCTGATACAAATGAAAAGACGGTATCAGAATGAGATTATCACTATGCACCCATTAGTATGGCTCCTATTTAGAAAGAAAACCAGTGGCTGGGCGAGGAGGCTCTCGCAGGTAATCCTACTACTCTGGGAGGCTGAGGTGGGTGGATTGCCTGAGCTCACAAGTTTGAGACCAGCCTGAGAGCGAGATTCCATCTCTAAAAATAGCTGGGCATTGTGGAAGGTGCCTGTAGTCCCAGCTACTCTGGAGGCTAAGGGAAGTAAATAGCTTGAGCCCAAGACATTGAGATTGTTGTGAGCTATGATGCCATGGTGACATCTCCTGAAGGTGACAAAGTAAACTCTGTCTCAAAAATAAAGAAATAAAAATAAAACCAGAATATCACAGAGTGTTCATGTACGTGCAGAGAAATTGGAACTCTTGTGTCCTGTTGGTGGGATTGTAAAATGGTGTAGCCACCATGGAAAACAGCATGTAGGCTCCTTTAAAAAATAAACAAAAAAAAAAAAACTACTGTATAATCCAGGGATCCCACTTCTGGATACATACCCCAAAGGACTGAAAGCAAGGTCTTAAAGAGATATTTGCATGCCCATTTTCATAGCAGTATTATTCAGAACATCTAAGAGGTAGAAACAACCCAAGTGTTCAGTGAAAGAACAGAGAAATAAAATGTGGTCTCTTCATACAACAAAATATTATTCAGCCATAAAAAGATAGGAAATTCTGACATATGCGGTATCATGGACGAACCTTGGGGACATTATGCTAAGTGAAATGAGCCAGCCACAAAAAACAAATACTATATGATTCTACTTATATTTTGTGAGGTTTCCATAGTAGTTAAATTCATAGAATCAGAAAATAGAATGGTAGTTATTCTATTTCACCTCTTGTGCCAGGAGCTTGGATAAAGGGAAAAGGGGAAAGTTGTTTAAGAGGCACAGAGTTTCAGATTTGCAAGATGAAAAAGATCTGGACATTTGTTTTACAACAGTGTGAACATACTTGACACTACTGAACTGCACACTTAAAAGTGGATAAGATGGTAAATTTTATGTTATGTGTTTTTTAACACAATAAAAAAAATAAGAGGGCAGCACCTGTGGCTCAAAGGAGTAGGGCGCTGGCCCCATATGCCGGAGGTGGTGGGTTCAAACCCAGCCCAGACCAAAAACTGCAAAAAAAAAAAGATAAGAAGGTCAGAAGCAAAGCACAGTGTCCCGTCCCACAGGATGATACTGGGGCCCTCACTCCTGGCTGACTCCAGTATACTTTACCAGTTCTAAGACAGGCTAATGAGCCAGGCTTGACTTTACCTGACTGTTGAATCATCTAGCTCTTCTTTCTTTACCTTGTTCATAAGAATATCATTCTTTATTACCTTCAACAAACTTACTAAACTTCCTGATATTCCTTCTAAAATGAAAATTAGATTGTGTTAATTTCTTACTTTAAACATTTCAATGGGCTCAGAGCCTGTCGCTCAAGCAGCTAAGGCGCCAGCCACATACACCAGAGCTGGCGGGTTCAAATCCAGCCCGGGCCTGCCAAACAACAATGACAACTACAAAAATAAATAAATAAATAAATAAAAAGAGCAGGTGGTGTGGCGGGCACCTATAGTCCCAACTACTTGGGAGGCTGAGGCAAGAGAATCACTTAAACCCAAGAGTTGGAGGTTGCTGTGAGCTATGATGTGATGCCAGGGGACTCTACCCAGGGTGACAGCTTAAGGCTCTGTCTAAAAAACAAAAACAAAAACAAAAAAACCCACAAAACAACATTTCAATGATTTCCATTGCCTAAGGAAATAAATTGTATATGTACTTCATGGAGAGCTATGAGTTTCCTGGAGCCATTTCAGGGCCCACTCATATTTTCCAGGTACCATGGTGGGTGCTTTGCTAAGAACTTTGCTTGCATTATCTGACTTATCCCTTACAACAGCCTCTGAAGGAGGTGGTCTAGAAAACAGAGACCCCGAAGAGGTGAGCTCCCTGTCTATTCTCACTTAGTGGCCCACTTGGGATTCAAGTTTGGGTCTCTCCAGGTACCTTGGTCTGAAGATAAATCTGCTTTCTCGCTTTCTTCTCCTAACAACAGATTATCTTCTTCCTGGGTTTTCTACTTCAAACACCATTTGAAAGAATCTTTTGGGGGAAGTTGCTCTGAAGAGGGGCAGCTGATAGCGGAATGCTAGTATTCCTTCATAAACTTCTGACACAAATTGTGGTTTATCACAGATTAGGAAATTATAATGCTTTTAATCAAAGAATAATAGCAGTCTGTGTTAGCCTAATAGCACTTTCATTAGTCACCAATTAATATCACATGTTCATAAGAAGGGAAAATACAGGTGTTATCTTCTCCCTTTATGGATAAGGAAACTGAGGCACAGAGTAACTAGGTGACTTGTTTAAAGTCATGCAATTAACTTTAGAGCTGGAAAGAGAATTTCCCACTGTAAGAACATAAGAAGTTTCTTTTATTATTTATTGTTGGGGATGTTTTATTTTGTTTCACTTTTTACCTTGAGGAACTGTATGTTTTCTCCTTTCTGATTTTATTTTATTTATTTATTTGTTTTTGGGACAGAGTCTCACTTTGTCAGTAAAGTGCCATGGTGTCACAGCTCATAAGCAACCTCCAACTCTTGGGCTTAAGCAATTCTCTTGCCTTAGCCTCCCAAGTAGCTGAGATTATAGGCCCCCACCACAACGACCAGTTATTTTTTTGGTTGCAGTCGTCATTGTTGTTTGGTGGGCCTGGGCTGGATTTGAACCCACCAGCTCTGGTATATGTGGCTGGCACCCTCAGCCACTGAGCTACAGGCGCCAAGCCTATTTATTTTTTTGAGACAGTGTCTCACTCTGTCACCCTGAGTTCAGTGAGTGCTGTGACATCATAGCTCACAGCAACCTCAAACTCTTGGGCTCAAGCAATCTCTTGCCTCAGCCTCCCAATTAGCTGGGACTATAGGTGCCCACCACAATGCCTGGTTAATTTTTCTATTTTTAGTAGAGATGGGGTTTCACTCTTGCTCAGACTGGTCTTGAACTCCTGTGCTCAAGCAATCCACCTGCCTCAGCCTCCTTTCTGATTTTAAGTAAACTAACTTACTGTGTTTCTCTTTTTGCCCTCAAATATACTACCAGTCGCTGCAGCTCTGTTATTCTTCCTGATCAGCATGTTTGCATTCCCTTTTCTGATTTTCTGGTTGAACAGTCTGCACCTTCATGTCTGCGTTACTTACCTGTGTTAGAACCTGCCTCAAATCCTTTCCGAAAGGGGCAGCTGTGAACAAGCGAGTGAGTGAGTGCTCAGTTAGCTAGCACTCCCAGCTGTCTAATAAATTACTTTGTTTCCTGAACTTAACAATGATTTACTCCATGTTTTAAGATAACATACCACATATAGCATTCTTGGGTACAGAGAAACTCTGAAGTCGGACATTGAGATTACAGGGATCTAAAGGAATAGCAAGCTCTGATAAACAGGAGCAAAGGAAGGGGACCCTTGCATATTCAATGCTTTACATGCCTTTTCTGGTTTAATCCTCACCACAACTCCGGAAGGCAGGTGTTTGATGAAGAACGTGAGGAGAAATTTAGCAACTCACTCAGGGCTATAAAGCCACCCTGAAGTGGAGCCAAGAATAGATGCAGGATAAAGTACAGGACCAAGGCTCTTTCAAAAACTACACCTTGTAGTCTTTGGAGACCTTGTAGTCTCCAAATCAAAATGACCTGAAAGGTTTCCCAACTGGCCAGGCGTCCTCAATCATGCGGCCCTCCGAGGACATTTATCCGGCCCGCCGGGTGTTTTTGCCGCTGCTGCCTGTCCTGCTTAGCAGCCAACTTGTCCCAGGGCCTGCAGTCCGGCCCTCCAACAGTCTGAGGGACAGTGAACTGGCCCCCTGTTTAAAAAGTTTGAGGACCCCTGGGTTACACGATGCAAACTTGTAATCCATATTGTTGATGCGGGGAAGGAAGAAGAGACTACATGTGGGAAATAAACTACAGACTTTGCCCCCATCCCCAGCCCAGTAAAGCTGCCAGCACATGGGCAGGGGGGATAGCTCAATTAACTTCCTTTGTGTAGTATTAGCATGATTCTGCCGTTACAAACAAAAGCAAACCTTTCTCCCAGAAATAAAGTTCTTCTGATGGTCAGTTGTGAACTTAGATAGGCAAGAGTAAATTCCCTGTGCCTGTCCCTTCCTCCCAGACCAGGAGGCTTGCTGTGTGAACTCAGTGGTGTTCCTACCTTTCTCACAGTAGGGCTCCCCATCCTCCATATGGAAGAGGCTGTTCCCAAAAGGCTTCTTGCAGGCTGCACAGACAAAGCAGGTGGTATGCCACGTCTGTCTCAGGGCATGCATCACTTCCTGGGAGAAAGAGCTTGAGCTCAGGACAGAAAGGTCCAAGGGAGAGAAGGAGCCAGGCTGGACTTTCCCCAAGACCCTGGCCACTGCCTGCAGAGCCCATCAGGGAGCAGAGCAGGAGAACCTGGGAAGCAAGCCTTATATGCTGAAGAAAAACCCCGAGTGGCAGAGGAGGGGTTCCCACTATCCAGCTGGGTGCTAGGTTCTGTGTGTTCTTACATGAACTGTGATGCTTACTCCTCCCATTAAACCTGGGAGGGAGGTGTTGCTTACTACTGTCACTTTACCAAAGGGGCACCAAGGGCCAAGGCCACATGCAGGTAGGTGAGCAGTGAGATCAGGCTACAAAGCAATCATTTGCTTCCCGGAAGTTCCACACCTCTTCAAGCTGTGCAGCACAAGCATTTAATCATCTCCTGCTTGAAGGTCACTCACTCCCTAATTTGTTGGTGGCAAACCAACTCCCTTCTAGGATAAAAGTGGATTTCTCTCTTTCTGTTACCAGCAACTTCTTGGCTTCCTAATGGGACCCCACAGTCTTAGACGGAAAGGAGAAGTTGATTAGGGCTAAGGAAAAAGAAAAGAGCAGAGCAGAGGGATGCTGCCCACTTACCCCCATGATTTTGGTTTTGCACTTGGAGCAGATGGGGGCAAAGAACTGCTCGTAACACCGCTCACAGTAAACGTTGTTCTGCTCCTCCACAAAGCACACATCTGCCAGGGAGGTCTTGCAGTAGGCACAGTTGAATTCTTCTGGATGCCAAGAGCGGCCCATGGCTACCAGAAAAGGGCCTCTAGGGAAGCAAAGAATAGCACCTAATAAGGTGGCCCCCAAAGCTTGAACCCAGGTATTTTAAGTATCCCCAGGATATTCAAACTTTTACCCAAGAACTAACTTTTGTGACTATTCCAATGAAATACTGTGAAATTCAGAAAAAGCTCCAGGCAGAAAGGTGTTCATTATTGCATCACTTATAGAAAAACAAACACCAGGAAAACAACTCAGACACAGGCACCAGGAGAGGTTGGGGTAAGCATATTACAGAATTCAGCTGACTATTAATAATTATAATAAGAACAATGATGATGCTGCAGGTGGCTAACATTTATTAGGTGATTAGTTTGTGGAAGGCACTACTCAAGAGGACTTCTGCATTTATTAACATGTTCAAGCCTCACAGCAATCCAGTGAAGTAGGCACTATTATGATACCCATTTTCAGATAAGGAAAATGAAGCACAAAGATAGCAACTTGTTCAAGGCCATAGGGCTGGTAAGTGGTAGACTCAGAAGACAAACCTGGACAGTCTAGTTCTAAGTAGTAATCAGAACATTGAGACTTTGAGATAATTTTTTAAATTCCAGTTTTTTTTTTTTTTTTTTTTGAGACAGAGCCTCAAGCTGTCCCCCTGGGTAGAGTGCCGTGGCATTACAGCTCACAGCAACCTCCAACTCCTGGGCTCAAGCGAGTCTCCTGCCTCCGCCTCCCAAGTAGCTGGGACCACAGGCGCCCGCCACAACGCCTGGCTATTTTTTGGTTGCAGCCGTCATTGTTGTTTGGCGGGTCCGGGCTGGGGATTCGAACCCGCCACCTTAGGTGTACGTGGCTGGCGCCTTAGCCGGTTGAGCTATAGGCGCCGAGCCAAATTCCAGTTTTTACTTGTCTGTATTTTCTAATTTTTCTCTGAGTATGAATTACTTTATTTTTAAATAAAAGTGTGTTTTTCATATATATAAGCTTACACCACACATGCATACATGTATACACAAACATATTGTATTCAAACACCACCACCACCATGATCCCTTAGCTTTTAGGTGTGAAATGGCTGGTTTCTATTTGGGTGTGGCAGGTGCCCATTGAAGCGCTGAGCAGTGAGAGGCTTGTTTGTGGAAAGACCCAGAAGCAACCATAAAGGAAAGCTGGGTCAAAACCAATAGTCAGCCAGCTTGCAACATGCCCAATAAACCTACTGATAAGACCGGTGATTCCCAGAACCCAGCCTTAGCCCAAAGGGGAGCTCCTGGCACTAGATATCCTGCTGGGAGCTTCTACCACTTACCTTATGCAATCCTCTCAACTCCCTAGCAAAGTGGGTGTCTCACAGCTAAAGCTCAGAGAAGGTCAAACCAGATTACAAGCCAGAGGGACCCGAGGGTACCTGGCACACAGCTTTCTCTGTCTACATGCCTCCCTCCATTTCCCCCCTGTAGAGCTCAGACTGTAGGCAAGCACCCTGCATGCCCACCCTTCCAGCAGCCCAGCCCAGGGATGTAGTGGGACCATACCGGATGATGCTGTTGCAGTGGCCACAGAGTGGAGTCCGGCTGCTGGCTGGGAAGCGCTCAGCCCTCTGGACTGTGCCCCTGGCAAGGGGAGGTACCTGAGCTGGGCTCTCCCTGGGCAAGGCCTGTTTGCTGATGGAGGTGGTGCTGGTGCCAGGAGCAAATTTCTGGGAGAAGCTGTCATCTGTTACCCAGGGGGGACGGCTGGCCGACTCCGCAGTTCCCCTGCTGTAGGTTGCTGAGGGTGCAGGGTTATAGCTGGGGGCAGGAGAGGGAGTATAGGCTGGTGCGGGGGACGGAGAGTAGGTGGGGGCAGGTGAAGGAGTGTAGGCAGGGGCAGGTGAAGGGGTGTAGGGAGTTGAACTGTAGTTGGCCCCTGGGGATGGGCTGTAGGTAGACGCAGGCACTGTAAGCCAAAAATACCCAAAGAAAAATGTGTCAGGAATTCATTTTCCCAAATTCTCCCAACCCCAGTCAAAGATCTGCAAAAGGTGACTTTAATCTGAGAGCAGTACAATTCCAATTTTTATAAGAGATTTGTTTCTGAGCTTTATGCCCCAGATTTTAATTCTCAGCAGGGAGCCCAGAAAGATAAAGAGCAAGTGCAGCAGAGCTGGCTGGGGCTGGAGAAGGGATACAGCTATAAATATCTACAGCTGTGCAGGGTGGGGCCCAGCCAGGCCTTGGCAGACGGAGACCTACATAAGACTGGGAGTTGGGGGTTGTCCCCGGGCCAGGGAAGTGGGTGGGAGAGGGTCAGCTCAGCTTGACTGGAGGATCCTTTCAGTCCTACATCGGAAATGCCTCAACTGGCATGCTCTGTTGAGCCTGGACCTTGTTCAGACTTACAGCACGAAGCAGATGACCCAGCAGCTGGGGTTTGGGGTTCAGGTTTCAAGTTTAGCTATAATAGCTTTCTTGAAAAACAGCTTGGGTTGATTTGTATCGGGGAAAAATTTCATCTTGGTTTG